CATCAGTACCAACGGTCAAGTTATCTAACTTTTTACCAAGTTTGGAGTTTATGTTGGTAAAAAATTCTGTAAATGTGGATGTGTCAGATTTATAATGTAAAAATATAGGACCGAAAAACGATGGGTGTTCACCGGATTTACATGACAGCAAGGAAAGATTTTTGAAAACTGTAACTGTGACGTAGACTCGTCCTAAATTGAAAGTTTTATCAATCCCAAGAATAGTTTTACCTGAGTAACAAACCCGCTCTAGATCCAAGCATTGCTCTTCAAAGAATAAAGTTGCATTAACAGATTCCATTTTACTGTGGGTTACTTTTTGTACAAATTCGGTTGTTTGCGTCATGTTAATGACCTCTAATATCTTGTCAGCGTAATTTTTATGATAATTGTTATTCCTGCTACCTGCTTTTTTTTCGATGGAACCTCGTATTTTCGATGTGTACTAGATTTCTGGAGTTTCTCTCCGCATGTTGTTGAAAATTAACACAAAGTTATTTTGCAGTAACGCCTTCACATTTAGATATATAATTTTCCATAACTTCTGCTGATGTTCTTATGTACGCATGTTGGTTTATCTTTGCATTTCCATGGGATGTATGACCAGGAAATATGCCCTTGTATTCCACTACTGTCACATTCATACCAATGTGACCATCGATCCAAGTGATTCGTCGTTCATAGCCAGTTGGTTGCCGAGCATAATAACGTCCAATTCTCTATATTTCACTTGTTTGGGGTTGTGGCTCAATAACTGGATATGACAGTCTTTTCCGTGGCGTGGATATCATATTTTCAGATTCTCCAGTGTGGCAATTTGAAATCTCCAGACCCGGACTCTCCAGATCAGGGGTGGGCAACTTCTCTAGTCGGCGGGCCGGATGTGGGAAAATGAAGTCTTCGGCGGGCCGGATTATTACATGAATAGTATTCAATATCTTGATCACATATTTATTCGCTAATGCAAGAAAGAAAATGATAAATCGCGTTTAAAAAACATTCTGCTGCCTAGCAAGTTTTTTGTCCAGTTCTGTGGCTCTAGTTTGCCGTTCCACTGCTGATAAATTATTTCCATAGTTTCCATGTTTCGTTACATATTGACGACTAATACGACTAATGTTGTACTCTTTTAATACCGCAACACTTTGATCACACAGTAAACATACTGCTTTGTTGCCAACCTTTGTGAAAATACTTCGGTATCCAATCTTTGTGGAATGCTCGACACTCTCTGTCAACTTTACGTTTCTTGGGATATCCCATGGTTAAAAAAACTTAATATAAAATCTTATTTCTAAAATCTATTTATATTTAGAATCTAAATATGAATATAGCTGATAACTGAAATGGGGAATGTTTACAACGCACTCTGCTTTAACCTTTTATTGTTTGTTTAACAAGTGTGCTAACACAATGAACATTTTCCCCGAGCCTCGACTTCCTAATTTACTTCGTGACATTGGCCAATCAGCAAGGTGCAAAAAGTGACGTAACAATGCTCCCTTTTCGCATCCGCTCAGACACTTTTCTCACTCAGAGAGATTTTCAGGTGTGGTTGTAAACATTACCTCGTTTTTAAACTCTATTCGTCAATTTTCAGTCGTGTTTTGGAAATTTAAATATAAATCAGATAATCCAATGATCACTCTATCTTCTTATGAGTTTTTATTTAATTGCAGTAATAAACAAATTAGTGTAAAAATAGCTGTGATAGACTGGGCTAAAATTCTTTTTCGGTATATTAAAAAACAGATTGTTGTATCATAATGATGGTTTGAAACACATACCCAATTTTACAGGCGCTAACTCGCGAAACCACTCTTAAAATGAGCCCTGAAAATTTTGCAATGGTAAGTATAGAAAGAATTTTTCGGGTGTCGAAGTTCGGGGAGAGGTCCATTGTTCGTTCACTAGGGCAATTGCTTATTTCACCAACTCGCTCTGACAGTGCGAAGAGAGTAGAGCGATCGGCAACTTTCAGGAATGATGCGTCGGACCACATTACAGAGTGTGGTTGGAGACAGTCAGCGGGCCGATCAAAATCTCGGCCGGACTCGGCCCGCGGGCCGTATGTTGCCCACCCCTGCTCCAGATCAATGCAAGTATTCGAGGACAATTTTTGCCTTTGTCGAAGGAACAAAGTGATTGGGTGCAAAATCAATAAAATTTGCAGAAACATTTGTTGTAGTCCACATTATGTGAAAATAAGGACCGTCTCGAAGAAACCTCCCTATCCTGGATACGTAATGAATATGCGGGAGATCACATATCTGCTGGTCCGAGGCCGTAAAAAACGCCCAGCAAATAAGTTTCGTAGCGCACATCTGGTAACTAAATAAATATATACTTGAGTTTTGTAGGAAAATGAACATACTGAACGCTTTGCTTTACAGCTTGTTCCACAAAAATGTGGCGAAATTGAATATAGGGGAGTTCCCAGAAAATCAATACAACAACACCGCGTAAGCACTATGCAATTCAAGAGCCCTGCTGCACACTAACACGAATGTACTTCACGTTTTGTCTGACCATAATCAGACAAGCAGTTTACAACAAAAACAGCATAAGATGTTGCATTTATTTTAGAGAAGCTATCAAACGCATTTAAGCAATGGAGTCACAAATTAACATCGTGTCGGCCGCATGCGGCCCGCTGGATACTTCTGTGCGGCCCGCGGGTGATTTGGAAACACGCCACTTCGCGGGTCTAACAATTAAAGCCGGTATCGGTATTTATGCAAGCGCGCCGCTACTCTGATCATATTCGAAATCGTGAGATTTATGTTTTTCACTAGTTTCAATAAATATCGAACTTTTGTGAAATCGGTGTGCCCTTCGCGCCCCCTAAAGTTCGTCGCTAGACCCCTAGCTAGTATGGGAAACCCTGAATTAGATATCTCATTATTCAAACTGAATCACGTTTGAAACAATATCGATATGCAATTTCACACTCTTTAGTGCATATTAGCAACCTATTAATAACCCCATTATTTTTTACCAGCAGTTTATGAAACTGAAGTTTCTTTTTTGATTCAAATTTAGAACTTGTAAAACAATTTCTTCATTTATGAATGGTGCAGGAATTCTCGCACAAAAGATTTTGCTATTTACTGTAAAATTTCAAATAAATTGGAGCTGATTTTGTAGAAAAATGTAATTTAACAGTCAAAAAAGTAGGAGGAAGATCTATTGCTACTAAACGGATTGTTCGTCTAGCCTACAATGAAAATATCCAATAAGGGTAGATATGACTAAATAAATTGTCATACATATATATTCTTGGGACGATTTTACAAAACTGAACCGGGGTAAAATGTTTTCCTGCAATCAGTTCATACTCCAACACGCAATACCTAATTCTAATAAAGAGGAAATATTGAAAATGAAGGGTGGGTTTTCAAGGTAGATAAATCACTAAATACATATTTGCCATTTCATATGTAAAAATACTGTACATTGTTTTTACTCAAGAAAATAAGATTCTTCATATTTTTAAGCTCCCCAGTAATGGAAGTGTTTCATCAAATTTAAATGTTCCACAATATTAATTTGATTTGTAGTTCATCTTGTGAAATATGTATGTGGCAAAGTTTGCGGCCCGCCGGGCCTTCAGATTCATGCTCGCGGCCCTCGTGGTAATTTGAGTTGTGCAGGGATGATTGAGAATTCACTTATTCGCCCAAGCATGCTTTTCTGTAGATAACGTCTTCGTCAAAAAGACGTTGTTCAATGTTACATTCACGTAAACGTCAGAACAGGACCAATTAGTAGGCCTATTGATTTTACGTGTGATACGTACGGGAAACAACGAAACAAACAAAATAACGAATTCACCTCTAGCAAGTGGGCTAGCGCTGCGCTGCACAGCAACAACAGTAACGAAAACATGTTAATTGGTAATGTTCGTGTATTATGGTGGATGGCTAAACGCCAAAGCGGGGTGGCAGATCAAAGGCGGATATATTCACCCCTACTTCCACCTACTTTCGTGAAGGGTCGTTGGTAACAGATACAGTAATGGGTCGAGGACAGAGCATATATGAGGGTTTTCATATTTGAAAAGTCGTGGCGGCTTCAGAAAAGCGTCGAGAGTTCGATGAAGTGTCGGGAGCTCCCACTGGAGCGTCAACGGCGGGAATAAGGAACGCGTACCAAATGACGGGAACGGCAGATGATATACCGTATTTTACGGACCATGAGGCGTAGGTATTTAAAAGACACATTGTCGACAAATTGCTCAGATTGTGGTTTTATTTCCACACAAGGCAGTCGGTCTAAAAGACGCGACGGATTTTAGAGCAATACCGGTTTTTAGTGTAGGCAATAAAGATCCATACATGAATATTCAAAATGCAATAGTTCTTTATATGAAAGATAGTAATGGGTTTGATAGCTGCATCATACGACATTTACTTTGTTAGTTTCATAACTCATTGTATATTAAACATGTGCATTTGTATGAATAGATTTTAACATCCTGAAAAATTGCTTAGGCCATGTTTTTTCCAATTTTGTTTCATGAACTTTAACCACTTCTAATAGTCATATTTTATTGTGAACTTATCAGCGCGAACTTGGGAGCTGACTCCTATGACCGCATGTTCGAATGGCTCCCTCCAGTATAGGCCAAAAATTTCTTTTTTCTGTAGTCTTATTTTTTATTGTTATGAGTTTTTTTTCTGGTTGACGAAATAAATCTCGATCATCCCCGGCTTGTGAGGCGTACGAGCGACTTTTTGAGAGAAAGGGGATTTGAAGTGCGCCTCATGGTCCGTAAAATAGGCACGCTGATGTATAAACATTGTTCATCGGGCATACCTGACATAAAGAACATCTTACACGGGGAGCTTTATCTTTTTTACACATTCTACCCGTCTTGTTGGTATTTCGGCATATTGAATGAAAATTCGAGACGATGGCGTCTCCCTTCCTCACATGCACCGCCTATGCACTGGCTGACTAACACTTGACGCCATTGCTACAAAATAACAACAATAAACTTGTAAAAAAAAAGAACAATATATTGAAAAATAGGCAGTGTATAAGTAATGAAAGACACTGGCACTTTTGAATCAACCAGTTCAAGTTCTCATTATCCTGATTGTGTTTTAATTGAAAAAACTTTCCAGTCAAGTGTTAAAAATAGCAAAATATGAACAATTGGTAAGATATCAACAATAGTTTTTGCGCTTGCTATTTTAAGTGTCAAGAACTCGAGCGTTTCCATCCCGAGAAACTGCAGAACCTGTTGATTTTTCATCAGTATCACCTGACATTTTGCTTTTGCCCTCAAGCTCGTGATCTTCCATTTTTTCTAGTGACTCTTTAGCCACTGGAGTAACAGATGTTGCCACTTTTTTTTAAGAAATGTTGACTGGGGCATTGCATGCGCAGTAATACTACCTGGTAGACACACTGAGACCGAAGATTGTCCGACAGTGACAGGTTGGTTGGTCACTGTTGCAACTGTTTGTGCGACATCGGCAACGGAATGCAAAGTAATCAAGTCCCTGGGATCAGCACTTTGGAGTGAAATCGGAACTACACCTGTTTGAGATGCTGGAACCGAGTCAGGTGGGACAGGGTTTGCATGATATTGATAAATGTATGTGGCCCTGTCACTGGTAGAGGGTTGAGGTTGTTGTACTGGTGCAGTAGATTCAAATATATCCTACAAAATTGAATTACATATATCAAAAAGAGCATTAGAAAACAGGGGTACGTACTATCAGGAAGTATTAAAGTTTGAATAGACTTCAATTTTAAGCTATTCGGAAAACGTATTCAAGTTCTTGCAGCTAACTGATATATTCTCAAGTTTAAATAGGGGGTTCACCAAACAAGTACACTCAAACTTTATATCTGACTTTTAATGATATTTTAATGGTAAGAACCACTTGAAGTAACACAAATAAACAAGATTCATATTTTAGAAGAAAGCAACGCTAAAACTTCCCTTGCACTCACAGCAAGTAGATTTCAGACAATATTTATCTATTTCTGAAGCATGCGACACAGTTATTTGCGAATTTGAATGGCAACACTTCTAGATGAAATCTACATTCTCGAAACAACAAACAATTACAATGTCTGAAACTTTACCCGCAACATTTTCGTTTGTGAAGTTGATTCTTCCATTTCCTTGGTCAATGGTTGTTTGGCACTGCTTGAAGTTGTTACTGACTGCCAATGGGACCTAGCTGTACTGGGTTGTTGACCAATCACTTTCACCTGCATCACCGATTGTTGCGAAGTTTGATGGTATATCATTTTAGGTTGCTCAATTTTTGCTGACGGTTTAGGAACACTTGGAATGGGGGTCATGTATGGTGCATTGGTTGTTTTAACAGGTTGAATAAACCCTGATTTTGGCCGCGGAGTCACTGGGATGGAAGAACCTTGTGGGGACCTGTGTACTTGGGGCTGATTTGGGGTGAAAAGTTTTCCTTTTGGTTGAACAGGAGAAGTAGCAAGATATACTTTGGTTTTATCTTGCAAACTCTGAGAAACAGCAGTGACGGAAGGTAGTGGTTTCTAGAAAAATAGAAACAGATAAATAAAAATTATTACAAGATGTCCATAAATCGCGTTGTAATGCTTTAGAGTTAAGTTTGAAAGTTATCATGCTACAAGTTATGCTTGCCTATGCATTGCTAATTACTATAAGTGGAATCAAAGCTTCAGATTTCATGGGAGTGAGAAGCAAAACAATGGATGGGCTGCTCGCTGTTACCATGTACTTCAGGAACCACTGATCATTTACATTTAAGCTTGTTCCAAGTTCCAGACAAATTGAATGACTAAATAACGACGAAGTATGGTAACTAGAAAAAAAGCCAACAATATCGTTGAGTCATCTTACAGTTTTCCCCCCTCAGGAGAAATCTAAACTATGATTCAGAACTAACAGTAATAATCAAAAACAATTATACACATCTCACCAATACCATTTGTTTTTGTTGACTAGTTGAAGTTTTCTGATAATTTGCTGCAAAAGCTTTAATAGTGGAAGCAGCGGGAGTAGAAGTCGACACCTTTATAATGCTGGATGAAGGACTTGCTTCAAAATTTGTCTGCTGAGAAAAAATGAATGAAATCAGTAAATAACATAAAATATTTCACATATGCTTAGTCCATTATTACTGAAAATGTAAAATAATACTAAAATATAACTTTTTCAATATGCGTGTGCTTGTACGGGGCCTAGTTCAGAGCAGAAGGCAAGCAGTGTCGCATAAATAAATTAGTGTAGGATTTTTCACAAAATGTTATAGAAGGATTCATTATGTAACCTAACAGTAAGAAATAAATAAATAACAAATACACTAACCGTTGGTGCACCTGGTTCCACACTAGCAGTAGGCAGAATCGTGGATGTTCCCAAAGACTGACTTAATGCTGCAGCAACAATGTCTTGACCTGAAGTAATTGCTTGGCCTTGTCCAGGAGTAACTTGTGCTACACTTGGTTGCTGTTGTTGTGTAATTATTGGTTTTACTATCCTGCTTCCAGTAAATGTTCGTAATTGACCAGAGGATAAGGTAGAGCCAGATGTGGTTCGTACTAAAACCTGGTTTGGAAAGATAAATAAGGAAAATTATCACTTAAGGAATTAAACTTACTGAATCTAAAATATACAGTAGTTGTATTGTAAGATATATATATTCAAATGAATCAAATAAAGATTTTCTTCTGATATATCACAGCTCTTATAGAATATAACACTTGTGTTGGTATATTGAATAGTTATTTTCAAAACAATTAAGTCCCTACATCTATTTTTCTTGAACAATGAATGGAAAAGACTGAACTGATTAGCTTTGCAGTGTACTGACACTCCTGTATTAAAATTTATAGAAAAACAAACATGGTGCAAATATTATTAAATCAGTAATGATCGAGACAAATGTTAAAAGTCAAATTCACAATACCTTGCCAGGAGCTCGAATCACATTCTGAATAACTTTAGTTTTCAAAGGATCTGCAATTTTACTGACGACTGTCTTCTTATGTAGTGGCATTGTTACAAACTGAGAATAAAAAGAAACGATTAGGTCACAAATTCCGAGTCCGATACATATTAGGTTTTATTGAAAGATGAAAGGCTGCAGTGAAATGGGTGAATATATTACCTTGAGCCTTCCAACTTGTTTCAGACCAAAGTTATGCTGAAAGTCAAAATAGGATTTAATTATGCTTTGATAACATTAACGCCGGCATAAACACAACCTACTCCGAGTATGTAAATTCCAAATTTTTTAATGCAACATTAATTTTCATAGTAGTTAACTAGATATTTTACCAAATTATTTGCCAACGCCAGGTCTCTCTGGCAGTAAGTCTGGCCCAAGTCTTTTAATTTATATGCGCCATACCGGTAGACTACTGTGACAGATAGCGTACCAGTTTTACTTCATTTTGGTGTGTGTGTCAATATAATTGAGCATCTCTCTCATGTTGAATGGTCATGAGTCAGCCTCAATGTGTGGTTTGGGGGACATCATCTCACTTAGCGGCGTAGCGTACTCTGTTGTTCGAGCACCATTATTTTCGTTCAAAAAAAAATGACTATTGAGTCATTCGATTAAGATATCACAGTATATATAATAGACTGGAAGTAGGGTGTTTTGTGAATCTTCAATTTTAATGTTTTAAAGATCAACAAATGTTAGTTGAGAATTCTTGAAGAGATCAGAAAACAGCGAGATAACATAGAGAAACCTACCTTTGGTTTCGTGCCAATGACTTTTGTTTTCTTAACAATACCAGCAGGACTGAGACCGGAGACAAGACCTTGAATACTGCCAAGAGCAGAAGTGGATGATGAATTGTCATCTTCGGTTTCCACAGGTAATCTCGGAAGATCAACACTCGATGATGACAAGTTTTTGGTGCTGACTGTAATCACTTTTGACTGTATTATGAAGAGCATAATAGTGAACAAAATGAGTATAGTATGCAGGAGAGGTGTCGGAGTCAGGAATTTGGCGAGATTTCACAAGAGTTGTATTTTCAAACTCCCATTGATCAAAATAGTGAATGAGTGGAAATTTGAGACTTTCTATGGTGATGATTAAAGTCGAAATTTTCTACAAAAATTCAAAGACATAACTTTATTAGGTGTTCTTATTAATATTAACTAACAGTCAGTTAGTCAATCAGAGTGATTAATTGTTTGCAAAAATATCATTTTCCTCTATAACAATGAAAGCCTAAAAAAACTGAAGAGTTGTAACAAGAGTAATTCTTGCTGCACACTAACAAAAATTTCTTCAGACATACACAATTCAGCAAATAATAAAACTCATTCGATAGAATAAGTTAAATCAAAATTATAATTTTTCTCCCAATATCAAATTTGGCAGATGCCATATACCACATATACAATATAGTCTCTCGAAGGGATTATTAAAAACAATGAATATAAATAACTTTGATAACTAAATTTAAGATATATAAATTAAACAATGAATAAACTAACCCCTTCACCACCAAGAGGAAACCCTGCTGGAGTGGTTTTCCCGATCTTTGACCCAGGTGCTTTATGTACAACAATGATACTGGTCTTCTGTACTAACTGAGGTTTGACAATACTTGCTCCACTTACAAGAGAGGAGGAAGAAGCTAAAAAAACATCAAAAATATTACAATTGCTGTATTAGTTTAGAACCATATTTTATTAAAGTTTTGATAATATCACTTTTTTGGAATTTTCAGATATGCACAGTCAAACTTAAAAAAGGTCATAAATTACCCACAAAAATCAAAACGAAAACTGGAACAACTTTGAAACCCAGAGCAAAATATGGCATCCGGTCCATACCGATAGAAGATTAAAAAGTCCATTTCTAAAAAATGTGACATTGGCTACATCGGTTTTACTGCGGCAACATGGTATATTGAAGTAATGTACTAATACTACTTTCTATAAGCTTGAGTGTTAGTATAGTTATCAAGTCAAGTTAGTATATCTTATAATATATCGGTATTATAAATCAATCTTGCTAAATAAATCAATACAAATGGTATAGTATAAGTCTACAAACAATCTATTCAGAAATTAGTTAGTACAGTTATTGTTGATATGGTCTTAAATGCCATTTGAACGACCTCCTGCGCAAGGAGCATAACGGGCTGCTATATAAAGACTAAAGAGCAAGTTTGAGTTTACGGCAGCCACACATGACATACACCACCATCATACACTTATGTTCGCTTCATTCAAACAAATCCTTCGGTGCAAAACTATAGATTTCTAAGCATACCATGGTCATATTTTCACCTATACATAAAAGGTTATGTTTGTCAAAATTTTCGAAAAATTGATAACCTTAAAATAAGTAATCATAATTACATTTCATCCCAGGTAACGGTTTCGCTGTTACAGTTATCACATTCCCAGATGATGATTTTAGAACAGTGTGAGGTTTTCCTGTGACACTGGAAATAACTCGAGGTGACTGTATCACCGGCGATGAAACTGCAGGAAGAACTGCTGACGTGAAACTCACTGGAATGCTCGATACTATGTTATCATTTGCTGAAAGAGCAAGACGGACTTGGTGCGTAGCTGGATGTTGTCCACTTATTGAGACAATAGAACCTATATATAAAAGCATTATGAATCAATTTTACCACTGAATATTTACTATTTAAGTATTATTTCAGTATAAACAAGAGAGCACAGCCCCAAAAGTCAAATATCATATAAATTAGCAAAAATTCGAGTGGATATCAGGTTCCATAAGACTCTGATGAAATGGTGCTTACTACCAGACATATGATTTTTATTTGCATATAATATTACCACAAATTAACCCTCAGATCCCAATATGGGGGAAGATAAATTCGTTACGAAGACAAATTAGCAATGTATAAGTACTTATATATTGTCAGTTAATTACCTGTACTTTTAAGCCTAATTCCACTAGAAGTCAGTGTTGTTGCAGATTCTCGTAAAACATTGACAAAAGTAGATCCCGGGCGACCAACAGATGAAGACACTCCATGTAATTGTCCCGGAGTAGGATGTACTATCTTCAAAGGTTGATTGCTCCCACCTGGTTATACAAAACTTTTAAGTAAAGCAGTGTTCCTCAAACTTTTTCCAGCACAACTCAATTTTTTCAACTACAAAGAGCTAAAATAAAAATAAAGTCAATATTAATAGAACAATGTAATGTATTGTTTATTACTTGGCCCCATGTTATGACTCTAGTCCTGGACCACTTGCTTACTAAACAAAATCTTAGGATTTCAGTTCCATTCTTAAACCACGGAGGTGAGAATTTGTGGACCCATCCCTGCAATACTTTTTCAACTTTTTGGAAAAAGATGTAACACAATTTGTGCCTTGATGACAAAACAACATGAAACATTTAGGTTTTTATAAGACTTAATTAAGTATCATCATTTTAACCCTTTTTTTCCGCTGTATACAATCGACTTTATGTACCATTTTATAATATGTAATGACCAGTTAACCAAACGTACAAGGAACACCCCCAATATCTCTTTAAAAAGCTTATTTTCGCGTCTTCCTACTAAAACGCGCCCAAATGACGTATGCGAAACCGTTCGACCCTACGCGTGTAAGAAGAGAGAAATTTCAAAAAATTTTGAGAGAACGTTTCACACTCTTATCGCTTCGATGAACACGTGTTACAAAGAAACAAAATTCCAAGCGCTCTTCTGAAAGAGAGTTACGTCACCTTTGAAGAAAAACCAGACTCAGCTTCGCAAGCGAAGCGAAACGCGAAATAATCAATGATATGTGAGAGCATGTCCACGATAGTTGTCTGGAATCTTTGTTTGTTTATTATGTGCGCGAAATTGTATTCCGCTCGTTCAAATGGCTTATTTTTGAAGTAATGACAAATACTTTCGTGTATCTCTAAGCTTTGAAATACCTACACAAATAAAATTCACTTAGTAGTAAAATAAAAAATTTACAAAAAAACAAAATGTTGACAGATCAAGCACGGATCATAGTTGGATGCTCAAAATGATTTAGTTAGTGCGGAATACTTCACAAAACATGAACATAAGCGTAAAATAGTCCGAAAATAACTATTATGACCAAGGATGGTAGTACGAATATATATGTTATACGGAGCAAAAGAGTTAACAAGCTGAGGGATGCTATGCTTTTGACCCCACTGTCTGTAAACAGAGGGTTAAAAAAATATATTCAAAAAGAGGGAAATTCTGACAGACCTTCCTCACTCTGTATTCTTGACACAACCATAGGTTTAGAAGACTTTTTCATAGCGGAAGCTTCAGTTGCAGATAATTGCCCCGGTGCCGGTGAACTAACCCTCGATACAATAGCACTGACAGGTGCAAGACCTAAATAGAAATATTTAATAGAAGCTGAAGAGATTGAATGTTTTCATATATGCATCTTGCAGGACTGAAGTGTCGAGTGAAATGAAGTTAAAATTTTGAGCTGAAACTCAGAAGGCATTAAGTTGGAAAAGCATTCTAATTAGACATAAAAAAATTGAACAGTTTTATTCAAATACATAGGATGATAAAACATTAGCAAGAACTGTATTGATTTTCCCAATTATTTGATCTACAGCATTAACATTATTTCTGTGAAAAAAGTCGTTGAATCATATCATTTCCTATCATTTTAAATTCTTGACTTTCATTTACGTTGTTGCAAATAATCAAATGAGCAAACCTGTTTCAACTATGGAAGTGCTCAATTCTGAAGCCATCAATGAGACTGATGCCAGTTCTTCAAGGCTTGATGTATGAGAAGGTGGGATTGTACGATGCGGATTGTCAAACTTTGATGATTCCAGAACTGGGAGAACTAGGGCATTCGGGTCTTCCATCGAATGGTATGGCAAACTGGGATCTCTATATTGACCTGAAATTATATAAAGTGATATTTTACAAGGGATGCGAGTTTGGCATATTCCGTTGGGCCGGAACTTCCAGACTTTTATTTTATAATTTATTCCAGAATTTTATATTTAATTGCGATCAATATAAGTCAAAATTTCAAAAAAACTCTAAGCAGTGATTGATGAATTATTAGGCATTTTCAACCGACAACTACAGAAGGCTTGTATGAGCCATGTTTTTTTTATACAAAATAGGGTTTTCTGGAGAAATACTGCATCATGGTTTCAAATTTCTATTTTTTTTCTCAACCCTGATGCGAGAGTCACCATTTAATAACTTCCTCGGAGTTTGAAGTTTGAGTTGGGTGTAAATTTTTCCAAACTTCCCAGCTCTAATTATAACAACACCTTTGAATCTCTAATTACCTAAATATATCACCAATAGACACCATGCAAAAAATTCAAAAGACGTCAGATCACAAAAAACTTGAACCTCATGTATTGTATGTAATTCCAGACTTGACACTAATAATACAAATATTATTTTCTAACAAATTTCTGTATCATTATCTATCTTTTTTTTTGAAAAAATATAAATTTTAGGAATATCAAAAGTTATACAATGTTCTTGGAGAAACAGCAGATCGAATTAATTAAATTGGTCAGTTCAGTACACTAATTAGATGTATCATTTCTGAATGTCGAACACATACAAGTTCCAAGCTGATCAATCCCAGTTCTTTCTAAAAAATAGCTTTTTCTATCCCAGTGGCTGCTAAAACAAAGCATTGTTCCGAGAAAGAGAGGTGGAAATACATCGAATAATAAACGAGAATATCGGTCGGAAACCGAAGACTTATCGATCGAAACTGCGGTTTCGATTCAAGATTCTATAGTGACACTGCCTGTCCCATCACTAATACCTCACTAATTATACGACATAATTCATCCAAAATCAATAGGCTTCTGGTCCGAGATATGATGAATGCACATGCAAAATTTGGAGCAGATTCAACCTCGCCTTCATGAGATATCGCGTTAATCTAACAGACAAACAAACAGACAAATACCTATCAACATACTTACCGATCTTAATTAAGATCGATAAGTAATGATCTTCCTTATTTAATACCTATTGATATTACCTCGTCCAATATCTTTTCTTGCAGCAATTCGTTTAAGAATGCTCTGGTGTTCAATTTCAGCTTGAACTGCTTTCTTCGAGAAAGAGAAATTAGATGGACTTTGTTGTTTGTATTTCTTCGTTTGCGATTTAGGCGCTCTACCGTAGGCACTTTGAATAACATTTGGCGGCTTGTAAAATGGCTTTGTCGGTGAATAACGAAATCCACGAGAGTATGTTGTTATCGTCTCTGAATTGGCAGTGATATCTCGAGGTACAATGCTCGCAGTACTGGATGACCATGGGGATGTACCGGGCGGGGGATAATATGATGGTGACAAAGGACTCATCCTGCTTGTAAATTGCCCAATGTGTTTTGTGGGAGACTGCTGAGTGCTGACAGAATATTCAGGCCTTGAACGTGATGCAAAAGCAATGTCTTCTTCTACTGTTAACTGCTGTCCTTTTCGTTGATGTTTGAGCCTGATAAATTCAAAGATCAATGGATAGGATTTGCATATTCATCTCGGGGAAAAGGGAAGCCTATAAGAAGAGTTAATCATATGGAGCAGCAAAGCCTCTCGTCCCCTTACTAGTCATCTTCAGGAATAGAATAAGTTAGTCAGCCATTTGTTTCCGATGCATGGGCCTGATAGTAGAGGAAGCCGTAACCTACCAGCAGTGACATGAAACACCCTATGGCAAAGAGGAGTCCGGCAATCCATATTTTTTATTCATACAAAAAACTTGATTGACTGGTATTAGCGGCTAACTAAAATATTGAACTTACTTTGTATTGGATCCTGCAGCATACAGATGTTCAGGTGGTACAGGTGTGTGCTGTATTGTTGGTGGTGGGGGAGGAGGCGGTTCTCTGACTCTAACTTTGACAAAATTTGATCTTTTCCGTTTTTTAGTGTACGGTTCATCAAATCTTCTATCGTATTCTCCAACTTGTTGCACAACTTGTTTCCGACTCGATGATTGTTTAGGACGATGAATAATCTGTAATAAAGCATCAAGTTGCTCATCTCGGATTCATATCCAATGCGCACCACCTTAACCAGGGTGAAATAAATTGGACAGGCAATATTGAAGCAAAAAGATTTGGCTTTTTCAGTAGTAGTAGATCTTCACATATCATCATATATCAGTGGACCTCGTATATGGTTTCTACTGTAGTTTCGATTCGCAGGATGTTAAAATTGTGAGCTTATAAATGAATTCATCTCACTGGTTTCTCTGTCAGAAGTGGCACGAAATAGTGCTTCAATATCGGACATACATAGAGAGACTTTATGTTATGAATGCCACTCATTTTAGAAAAATAATAATAACAGCATGCTGTGATTGGCAAATTGTTAGACATGAACTACATTATAAAACATACAGAGATATAGTTAACAGTAGACAGAATGTCTGAAATGCTTTTGGGGGAAAAAATGCTAAGGAAGGAGGGGATAAGAGATTAGATGTGTATAATAACATATGACCACTAATTTGGTGTAATTTATGTTTTAAAGGAGCCTGTGTGTTTTACAAAGGGAGGCTTTTTCTGTGGTAAGTTGTAGCCTCAGTAACACCTACCTCAGGTTTCAGACGCATTTCTGGAAATTCTGGTAACCTGTCATCGAAATCTAAATTTTCCACTTTTGTATTCAAAACTATTTTATCAGATGAAATATTTTGCTTCATTGGCAAAGGTCTGATGATTTGCCTGATGGTAACACTATTATCTTTATTCGGAGCTGTTCCCACTGATTTCTTTCTTTTTCTTTTAGATCTTGGTGCCGTCAAGCTTATTTCAGGAGCATTTCCAAAATCAATCTGCCCTAAAAACGTAATGAAAAGTCAATAAATAGAAAAAGAATAAATGGCCGAAGTACGGAACAAGGCTGTGGAATAAGGGGGAAATTCAAATTCGACTCAGGTTGAAAAAATCATGTGTTGATAACAAAAATTTTATTTGAGTGTTATTGTTGAGGGATGAACTAAATTCTTTTTGAACTTTTATATAAAATTTTGACCTACTCATCACCAGGAAATTTCGACTCTGGAAATTCATACTTTTGATCCCGATTCCCCATACTGGTACAGGGGCCATTCCAAGCACAAAAGTTGAATTCCATCAATTTTTTAAAAAGTGTAGTGAAAGTAATTTTTTTTTCTATTTTTGATATCAAAAGACATTGGAATTTTATTGGACTGCATTCATTTCATCGAACAATTTAAAATTTCACCCAGGTTTTTGATGGTTTTTGAAAAATGGCCTGAAATGTAGAAATTTTGGTATAATTGACATATTTTGTGATGATTCCTGGCACAAAGGGTTTGATTGTGTGGTACAGTTATTTCATATGGAATTGACGCACTGGATTTAAGTTAATAAAGTTTAAATGTTTGCAGTGCTGTAGAACATTTCTTCACCCATTTATCACCAGAATTTTAAGAGATGATAGATGCCGCTATTCCGAAGTGGAAAAATGTCCTGCAGTGTCACGTCCTGTAGTGTCACATACAATATGCACATTATTGGCATGGATTTACAGTGTTACATTAAGTAACTTGAGCAACACATAGAGGGGTAGTTCAGCTACTGCACCAGAAAATATTATGGGCTCCTACTGTACCATCGAAAAAATTTACAGCACACCACAACGTACTGTTAGTGCATGGTGGATTTGCCGTCCTGTAGTGTCATGCTATATTTCACTATATTTTTTTTATCTACTAAGTAAGGTTGGGTGTAACTTTTGTGCAATTTTTTACATATTCAATAAAGCAACTGATTGGACAATGAAACAAAACATGTAGCTGAAAATGTGAAAATATATTGAATTTAACAACTTGCAAAATTTCTGGAATTGTCCCTTAGTGTCACTTGGAATAGCCCACATACAATATCAAAAACCATTCGGAAAATTATTTACGCTCGATTTCATCTTACATACAGTATACGTTAGGCATCTCTAATTGTGGTTAAGAAATATTTCCATTTCTGATAATTGGCAATCTCCCACATTAGCAGAGCCAACATGACCCAATAAAACTAAAGTATTTATATGCCTGAAAAAACAACAGAATTTTCAAATTTTTTTTCTATATGTATAATATAGTATAAATAAATATCAAGACATGATGGAATACCAGATGAGCTTGACTTCATTGAGTAAGCATCAACTTCTTCTTTCTCTTTAGCCATAGCAACACGAACAGTAGTTCCGCCAGGCAGATACACATATGAATCAGAGGCAGATGGAACATCAGTCATTTCAGACTGCATTTCTTGGACTGTGCAATAGAAGATTGAAATGATACATAGTAAATTATTGAGAAAGATGAGAAAATATGGAAATTCCAGTTTAATAGAAAAGTATCATAAAGATAACCCCTGTCCTAGTTTAACCACTCAAAACGCATAGATAAACTAATTTTATCGTCAGCAAGTCAAGTCGATGCATCTGAAACAAATGAATGGGTAACTACCGTAACCCTATACCAATATGTACAGGTAACCAGACAAAAGACCATGGTACACCATAATGTGAATAATAAGCCACCTTATAAGCTTTCCTATCCCCAGGATAAATATGAAAATCCTATCGCATTCAGCATTAAAGTCGATACCTAAGTTTGTCTCAACTCAGTTAATGAATATGAAGCAATACTAATATAATGAGGCATGTTTAATACTTAATAGTTCATATTATGCCATTCCTTGTATCGAAAAATTTAAATAAATACAAATACCGTAAGAGTTGAAGACCTAAAACATAATAACAATTCACATCTTATTTATAAACAATCAGTGGCTTACCATCAGCAGACACAATATCTGAACGAACCAGATCTTCAGTTGTAGTGCCAACATCCGCAGTATCACTCTGCGTACTCAAACATTTGGCACAATATAATGATGAACGCAATATCCTTGTCCTGTCTTGTAACTCGGCTTCTGGAGGCTTCTCAGGCGGCTGAAATTCCTGGCTTTGTCTGATAATGGAGTATACATTGTTATATGATTTACACTCTGTAAAAGCATACATTACAATTTTTTTTTCACAAAACAAATCTGTATAAAAATATACAAAACATACTTACTTTTTCTCAAATGATCTGAAACACACAGTACTGGCATTCGATTGTGGCAAAGCAGCATTTTCTTTTGCAATTATTTCAGCAACTCTATCCGCTTCCTCCATGTAGGCAGTGATTTGCAGTGGTCTATCTGGCAGAGGAACTAATCTACGACCTTCTTTTATCCACTCAATATTGGATTCACTATTAGAGACATGCAATGCTATTGTTGATAGTTTTTCCTCATTAACAGCCCTTCGTATCTGAAATGTAACATAACAAAAATGATTCATACAAATATACTAATGATATAAATATTGCAAGCTTACATTTTAAGGTGAACAAGTTTTAGGCATTGACAGCTGGTTGATATTTAGATGAAATTTTGTTCAGAGGCAATTGCATATAGGAGCGCGTAGATGAAAGATGAAAAGATACATATAATTAGCATTAGAAAGTTTTAAACAACATCAGTTAGGTGATCACCACCTTGTATATGGAAGGCGAGTATTAACAGACAATTAACAGGACAACAGATTTGAACACTGAGGGAAAAACAACTTCACTTGTAATCAACCAATCAAAGTAGAGACCTATAATTTAGCTAGAGCTTTCTTGGGATTATTATTGACAAAAAATCTCTGGAGTAAAAAGCCAACACTGGTGGAAAATACCCCAATATTTGGCATTATTTTACAACTTACCCGATAAAAGGATTTGCACACGAGTAGCCTAATATAGGCCCTTGTTGGAACATGACATTTGAGGATGAATAATAAAAGTTGAATTCGAATAGCAATACATTCAAAAAATTGAAAGTTTTTTGATAAACAATAAAACAAATGTTTTGATTGAAACGTCTCGAAATAAATATGATAATTTGCACCTCTGCTTTGTATCTGTCACGTCCAATTCCAAAACATGCACAAATTTCTGCTAACAACGATTTCTTCTCTTTTGTTAGATCTCCCTGCAATAATGGAAAGGTACATGCAAATCAATAAGTTATAAAGCATGAATAAAATATTAAATCGAGATGTATAACTTGGATCTGTTAATGGCCATGCCTAAAAAATAATTGATTCCCAAAAAACACAAACTACCTGTGCTCTTAAAGCACTGATGACGGCAGCATATGCTTCGAGTTCAAGTTGCCTCAAATAACGAGCACATTCATCTTCTGTCATGTCCAAGTATTTTGGATAAAATATCGGCCCTGGCCCAGGTGGAGGCCCCATATTTGAAGTTTAATAAATATCTAATCCAAAATAAGCAGACTATTAAATCTGAAAAATATAATTGATAATTGCTTCATCGTTATTGAAGTTTATAGCAAAGAAAGAGTAAAATTTATTTCACATAGTACAAGCTTTTAATGGGTTATTACAGCTTGGTCAGGTATAGTGAAAGCTAGTAAATTATACCACGAGGATTCTGCTCTCAAATCTCTGACTTGATCTTTTTCAAGATCGTTGCAAACATAGGCCTATTACACCTATGGATTCAAAAGTGTAAGTAACATGAAATGATTAACAGTATGTCACATTATCACATAACTTATCCATTAAAATTTAGCCAAAATTGATTTTGGAAAATTATATTATGACGACCTATATAATTAGCAGTCTAAAAGCAAAACTAAAATAATGGGTGAAATAAAAAATCCCAAATGAAAAAATTACATTACTACAATGCAGTATTAGTAATAGAAGCAAATATAATGTGGCAGTGCAGACATAAAATGCCATTTTAATCGTAACTCGAAAAATATATGTTATAGGGCCCACATAGGAAACATTTCTATTTTTCATTATGGTTGATATTATCTAACTTAAAAATTCAAAACATGTGTATATGGACCATTAGTCTCTACAGATAAAACTTGTAAATTTCTGTACGTTCCAGATTCCGTTCGTACGTTATTATTGTGACAAGACTCATTTTTATCTTGAATATTTCTTAAAGTTTCAACAAAAATTCTATATAATTTTTCTCCGTCTTTTTTATTTATATTTCCATGATATTGCATCCGATTTCCTTTTTGTTTTCCACCAAGAGTTGCTTGAGGAACCACTAATATATCACCAGGTAGTTCAACAACAGAGACCAAAGAAGAGTTGGATTCTTCAGATAATGATTTACTGAGTTTAATATTACACACAGACTTTGCCATTTTGATAGCAGTCTCTTCTATAGCATCTTGTAGGAAGCAAACATATACTACGATGCCTCTTCTTATTGAAACGAACTCTGGATTCTCATTGGGAGCATGTGCATTAATTTGAAGTTTTGCTGAAATACACTGCTGGATTATGATCCGTGCGAAAAGTGACTGACCGTGTGATTCGTCCTTTGACATTTGAAATGTTGGTATACACCCTACATATGTGTGATATATAATCAGCTATGAAGCAAAAAAGAAGGAAATACAAAGTTTAGAATTGGGCCATATATACCGGTATATATTTAATATATAAAATTTAAAACAACTTTGAAAAATAGAGAAAGTGTACACACCGACACAGTAAGGGGTATATTTTGAATATAGGATTATTTAAGTAGCCTACATAACTTTGCTAACTCTTTTGTGTCTTGAAAAAAATGATTTGTCCATTGTATATGACCGTATTAGTTCATATCCTATTACTTCATTTCTTTGCATATAGCTCCTATCGCATGTTTTTAGGTGAGTGAACATGTACCACTTCTTCTTGGCAAAACCTTCCATCTTGTATACATTCTGTATGTTTTAAACCTTATCTAAGGTTTTGTTTGCTCTCCTGATTTCATAATCAGTTTTTATTTATTTTTTACCAATCATTTTATTGTTATGCTGATTATGGAGTCGAAATATACTTATACTTATGCCTACCAATCATGAATTTTTTAGAAGTTCTGAAGTTTGTTTGTATGTGTAATTTTATCTGTTCATTAAAAAATTGTTTTTGGAAACATTTATATGACACTAGGCCCCATACTATTTGTATATTTAAAATATTTTCTTGTGCCAGTTGGTCCTTTAGTAAAGACTATTTTTGCCCTAATAAATAATTTTCAGATTTCAGTATAACATATTGCTGTAGACTATGGGTTCATCAATTCATATTGATAAGAGATGATTCAGGAATTCATTGCTCAATTTACATCCGCTAGGTGGCGTAAAATGAAATTGTTATTTTCTATCATTCTATCCCCCTCAATTTTCCCATTTTACTTGGGAAATCGCTTGGAGGGACATAAAATATCCTTCGCAAGATATCTACAAGTCCGTTCCGGTAGGTTTATGTTGGTTTTCCACTCCGTTCCGGCAAATTAGGGTCCGTTCCGGTAATTAAAGAAAATTAAATTTACCACTGTACCCCCCCAAGTTTGCCGATTTAATATAAAAATTGCATGGAAGTATATGCAATGACATTTGCAAGACATCTAAAGGTCCGTTCCGGTAGGTTTATGTATGTTTTCCACCCCGTTCCGGTAATTTAGGGTCCGTTCCGGTAATTAAAGGAACCGGTAGACTATTGTTTTTTTGATTTATTGATGTTTAAAAAAATTGAGCCTACTGGAAATTTACCATGGTTTGATGGTGTAAATTGAGTACGGTCCCGGTAAAGGCATATACAGATAGTACCAGAATACAGGAATACCGTTACACACTGACATAACGTAGCCCCCACCGCTGCTATAACACAGTACAGCAGTAACACAGGATTATGAAGGTCTGTTTACCTGTACCGGTAACTATTTAAGCCCTTTCACTTCAGCCTTCGTCTGCAGGTTTTTGTGTCTTCTCACTACTGCAATAATGTACTAAAATAAATCAGACAGTGCAGCAGGCCAGCAGCGACTGATGGTTGCAATTATTAACTCTTTTATATTGCTTTTAAAAGACGAATAAACATAACATAGGCCTACATAGTAGGCCTATACACATACCGGTACATAAAATATCAGAATATAGAGAACTAGCTTAAAGAAAGTAAATTTTCTTAATAAGCTAAAGCTGTAAAGGCTTGAAGTCGAAGTGCACATTTTCAATACGGTAACTCGGCAAGAATTTGGATTTACTGTTTTAGGACATCGTATAGGCTACACCCTGCGCTTGCACTGTTCTAGCTATTAGCCATACCCCTACCTATCCCGCGTTTGAAAATTCAAAAGGCAGAAAGAACGCAAGAACGTTATATGCAAGTGAAAAAGCATTTGCCTAGTCTAGTGACTCTAGTCTATATCTGTATATTGAAACAGGATTGAGCCATGGACGTTTCCCCGACCCTTGACCTCTCAAAGATTCTTCCCATACTTTTTCATTGCAAGGTTTTCAGCACTGATTTTGATACCTCTTATAGGTACTATTTTTCAGAAACACAACTAAAAACTGAAAAATAACAAGCAAAACTACTAAAAAGAACAAATGTTTACATGTCACGATTTTTATTATCCGTGTGTTTTAATTTAGTTCTTCTTTTATATTTGCCCATATGCTTATCGAAGATTTAATTGGATAAACTCCATCAGGATCCGGTTACTGTGAGACTCCGACCACCATCGAGTCGTGAGAAAAAAGAGCTTCCCGCCACTTCTCCGGTCGCCGCGCTGGTGGACGGTCGTGTTTTCTCTGTTTTAAGTGTTTTTAACTGTGAAGTTGTCTCATAATAAACCACAAATCCCGAATCTGAGTCTCCTGATTCAATACACACGATAGCAACATCATCTACCGTGACATTAAATCCGCGCTTAAATAGCTGTTTAAGCGAAAGAAGTGTCTAAGCGGCGGCATATATTCCAATTGTTACGTCATCATTGAGTTATGCCTATTTGTAATTCATACAGTAATAGGATTTACATATTTATCCAGAGGTAGAGGAAAGCCGATAAGACGCCTTAACCATATGGCGAACCACGCCTCTCGCCCGGTTACCATTCCAAGTAGGGTATGGGATTTGTTTTCGGAAGCATGGACTTGATGGTGGAGGACCAGTTACGACCAGCGGTTACGCGAACCACCCAACGGCGGCGAGGAGTCCAGCGATCATTTCGCACATAACCATCCATGCATGTGATTCGAACCTGCGAACCCACGCAGAGTAACAGAGGTAAGGTGGCAGCGTATTCTTAACGCTTAGCACGATGAGCCACACCGCCGCCGCGCCGGGACGATAAACGATGTCCGGGAAAACATCCATAGTGGTGGTAGCATAAAAGCAAAATTGAGGATATCGAAATAAAGCTGTTTGGGAAATAAATTGGGGATGGTGAAATAGGATTGATAAGTTTCTAGATAAAAATTTCTATCAAAATTTGACAAACTATGCCAAAAAATTCACTCCGATTTTTGGAAGTACATAAGTGTGCAAACATTTATTTTCGAAAAAAAAAAACATTACAAAAGAAGGCAGAGACATAGGATTAGTGATGCCCATGTAGTGAAGTTGTATAAATGACTGTAGGGGGCGATGGTAGAAACAAGTTGGGAAGCTGGGAAGTACAAACAAGCTGGGAAGCAAACAAGCTGATCTATATATATAACAATTTGAAGCCCCACAGTCTAATCAGTCTTGAGTTTCTTATTTTTTCGCTTTAATTATAGATGTTTTGGTGACAATATAGGTTACATATAACAACGTTAACGTTACAATGATGCGTCGCACCCATCCTCAATCAATCAATCATCATTTATTAGTGTGTATATATACAAATATGGAGGTAGCTAATTTTATTGATATCTTCAACAGGAATGCTATTGGTAATGTGTGTTTTGTGGAATGTTATGAATTTCTAAGTCCTGCTTCTTTGATATTTTGTTTCCATAGCTACACTTCGGCGACATCATATTGTAAACTTATCATATAAAACATAAAACATAGTGTCATATCAAAAATGTAAGGCGAAGCTAATTTATAAAGCCTGTACGTCAAGGACATTTTATTACGAAGCAGTGGCAACTAGTTAGAGCTAAATTGGAATTACGAAATGAAATCGCACTCTCCAACAAGATTTTCCACACAAGATGACCGTTTAAAGCAGTGGTTCAGGAGTGGAAACTAAGATAACAAGATTTACCCCCAATGTAGCCATTGGTGATCATTTATTAAAAATTCGTCATGCTAAGTATGAAGAGCTCTAATTTTAGACGCGAAGTCCCTTACCGCATTTCCCCTTTTCATTTAGCTTCAGTTTGGCGGGGAAATGGAGAGTGGGATTCGGTGAAAAAGGTGGTTTAGGGGAGAAAAAGGAAGGAGTGGGAAGAAGATGGACGGGAGGTGGTAAGATTGGAAGTGGGAAGGAGAGAGTGTTGGGGTGGGAGAGTGACAGGGGGACGTAAGAATAAAAAGGAAGATTGGGGGATAGTGGGGTGGGAGCAGAATAGAGGAGGAATAAGTATAGCGGAAGAGTGCGGGTGAATTTCTGAAATTTCGATTCTGAAAGAGAAATATTTTATCACCAATTCCCTGAAAATCTTGCGCGTTAACTTATCAGTACATGTAGGCCTGTCGTAGTACCGGTAATGGACCAGTGACTATCTCAGATTATCAAGTAGAAATGTCACAAAACGCGCATTTTCGCGCCAAAACATGTACGTATCACATCTGCAAGGTACCGTTACGCTTATAAAAACAACAGCTGATTGTCCACCTTAGCTTGTCTTTACGTCAAACATTGATTTAATTCAGATGAAATACAGGCGGCAAAACGAATTAATGCTCCCTTCTAATGACACCTATCAAATCCCGCCATGTGTGTATTTTCCCAATTTGAAATTTATCAATTTTTATGAAGCTTGTTTACTTAGAACTTCGGTAATTTTTCCGGTATGAATCACTGTCGGGCTAACATCCTTCACTCCAACGCTGAATTTGCAGAATCCGCCGGCGTTCTCGATAACCGTTGCCGAAAATCGCCTTCTGCACGAGTCGCGATATTGTCAGGCAAAATAGGCTGATACACATATGTCTATCCCATAATAAGCTACATATTTCTCGCAACTTGGACTACCAATAATAGAATGTTTCTCGCAACAAAACAAGCAAATAGATGCGGTTTTTGTTAAGTCTTAATCGTTTTCCACAATAACGAAATTCACCGCTAAGAATGACGAAATTTACCCCCAGGGGTACATTTACCCCATGTTATGAACTGCTGGTTTAAAGTGTCTACTTTTTATTATTTTGTTATTGCTATGCTGTTATAGTAGTTGACCGTTTCCTAATAAAAGTGAAAACAAGGTCATGCAAATATGTTGCAAAATGATAAAGCTCAATTTCAAAACTTAGTCAGTTTTGCTGTTCTTTAAATTAGTTTTTGTTGATTTGTCTCGAAACAAGGTTTTGCACAGCTTTGGATTTAATTAAAGCAGAACTTTGTTGAAGTCTGTTTATGTGCCTCGAACAATAGCGAATTATGAGTGATATACTACTGAGTTAACAAAATTACTCGAATCTCTCGTGGCGGGCTAATTAGCATTTTACTCAAAAACCCATGTTAATAAATCGCCAATACACTTTTAAACAAAAACATTACCTGTATATACTTTCAATAAAAGCGAGTTTAAATACATGTAGGCCAATAACATAAACTATCAGTATTGAGTTGGGTAATCTTTGGGCTACCTTATTAGGGCATTCGTACTGTGTTATAGCCAAGTGCTCCATATATACTAAAGACAGACATACTAGAGATAAATGTTTTCCTTGTGCATGACACAAGTGTGATAGGGCACGTAATGAAAATAATAAACTTGGTACACGAGATGTCATTAGAAAACATAACACATATACTGCAAACAGATTGATGGTGGCCAGAATGCAAATGCTTAACAGGGTGCAGTCGTACACAATGGCAATTACAGTTTTACGATACATTAGTTTGTCAGCTATAGCTCGTAGAGATTGTGGGCTATACCGACTATATATATGTTGGCTAGGGCATAAGTTTATTAACAGTTTTACAATATCGACATTAGTTTGTCAGCGCGTATAAATTATGAGCTATACCGACAAACTCGCGTATTTTTTAAAAAGAGATGGCTGTAAATTCACAATTTTTTTTACAGTGTGTGACATAAGTTTATCAACAGCAGGTACAAATTGCTTGGGCCTTGGAGTTGATGATTTATCTGCAGTAGCTTGAATAAACCCCTTCTATCTGCTTTAGTATATCTACTGCCATAGCAAACGTACGTTTTTATGGTGACCACACCATTCCTTGATTATATATGCAACAAAAATTTGTCAGCTGTTTCTCATATTCAGAGATCATGTTCAATGAATTATCATTATCTAAATAAATATTTTCGTCATTTTCCAATTTTTGTCGAAAGCTCAGATAATTCGTCTTTTAGATTCGCTTGTTGCTGTTTAACAATTTCAATGTCTGATTTTATTTGTTCAACGTGCTTCAATATTGCTTCTACAGCATTACAGCAATTGCACTGACTTGTCTCTCTGACAGATTCTTCACGTTCTTGAACGACCTGCAGTTCCCCCTAGAAAACCAAAGAAAGACATGTTGTTATATTTTTGAAATTTTTCACACACAATCATACGACATATTATTTCTACTATCATTGGTGTTTGTAATATTTTTTTTACAAATCATCACTAAATTAGGTGATTTTTAGCCATTTTTAAAAAGACGTAAAATTAGACAAGCACTGGAAATTCTTCATAAATCGTTTGTCCTGCTGATGTTGAAATTTTGAATTAGCTACGTACATGATTGAGGAAGAAGCTCCATTCCGTTTTGATCCATTCTTCCAGGTCAATTTTATATTTTCTAACGATTTCCTCGTTTCCCCTCAAAAGATCCAAATCAAATGAAGACATTGCTTCGTCATTAGCACGGTAATGGTGTGGATTCAAGTCATCATTGTCTTGATCTTTCTTGACCTAAAGTAAACAACAAGCCTTTTACACAATGTTACTTTTTCTATAATATTAGACCGTCCTTTTTAGAATTCAAGCAACCGAAAACTAAAACTTACATTTTTAATATGCTGTCTGTAGATTCTTTTGGCTTTATCCAAGGATATTTTACAGCTCCTGTGCAACTCTGCCTGTAAAAAGTGTTACATCAATTTATATGAGCCTGTGCTAATTTTTCTTTATTGTTTCTATTTTTACACGATATGCCTCATTAGAAATATTATGATTGATCTAAAAAAATTTAAATGCAGCTCAAACATTAGAAAATACCATAACATCTCGAAAATTGTCACACGTTTTAGATTTTGTCGACTCCTATTAATTTATTTATTTATGTCGACTGGATATATATATTTTTTTCAATCGACTTCTTTTCCTCTCGATTTCAATATTAATGCTATAAAAAGTCACCTCGGCACGTTTATTCCGGTCACAAAATTCCTCTTTCCACTTGTCAAAAGTATCTTGCAGATTTTGTTGGCAAAATTGCCGCTCGACTTGACTAATATTCATCCGCTTCAAATATTCCTCGGATTTTTTCTCAGCCTCAGAAAAATATTTTCTCAAGTTTTCTTCTGTACACGCGTTCCCCCCAGTTTTCTGACACATAAAATGTAAAGATTTTTAATTAAGCTTTTATTAGGCATTAAAATGTTTATATCAATTTACTTTAAAATCATATATTCGTAGATTTAAATTTGAATTAAAACTAATTTTGGATTAAAAATCCGTTCTTTAATCGCGGTTATCACAAATATTTATTTTCGACTATATTCTTTGAAATAAAACTTTTTTGATATTTTATGTTATGAATTTTACCTAATCCATACACGGAAAACAAAAATTTCAAAGTATTTAATGGGTCAACTTGTTGGTAAGACTAGTCCTACTGTTTTACCAATACTATATATAGCATCCCGTGCATTATTAACTACCTTTGTCGAAACGGGCACTTACAAGCTGCATGTTATCATATAAAAATTTTGTTTGTTTCTCGGTTTTCAAAAACTGGCAATAATTGTACTAAATTTGTTTTTGAATACTCAAATTTTAAATAAAAATATTGCACTAATGAAAATTACAAATCTATTTTGAATCTTGCGCATAAATTCCAAACTTCAATACCTACAGTTTCTAAGGATCGTTGGAATTCCAATTTTACTCCGTTCAAAATCGAGGCGGATTTCTTGCGGGCTTTATTCTGTAAGTACGATACATTAGATTTGAAATACGATAATGAAGTAATTGGTGAACTGTTATAATATTCTCAGTTATTACTTTATTACTATTCGCAATTTTCCGGTGGTGCTCCTTTTTTTCACGAATCATTTTTTGTAATTCTGCGTTTACTCTGTTATGCATTTGGCTCGTGAATTGCGCTGATATATGTTGCATACGATCAAATGATTTTTGTTGGGATTCATTGTGGCTTTCTTCTATATATAAATCATCCATCAAATCTTTGCAGGCCTAAAAAGAAATACGCAATTTGCATTCATCTGAAAGATCTATGTACCAAATTTCACAATATATAAACTACATGTTTAATTTTTTTGCTCTTCACAATTTTCGTTACATATGAATAAAAGAGCTTGTCACTGGATATAAACGATTTATGTTTGACGCGTTGTACTCAATATAACAATTTTGAGCATCAATTCGTAACAACAAACCTTTTCCATTTCTTGATTGTAAATTTTAATACATTCTTGTATGCAATCAGCTTCTTTTCCTTTCTGCATTTTCTAAACAATAATATAATTTTTACAAAATGAAAAACAAAAACATATTTATAGCTTAGTCATACAATGCAGAATTAGTATAAAATATTTTTCAAATTCAGTCAAAACGATTTGATTGATCGTTAGATGGAAAGTTGATATCATATTAAGAAAAATGCAGCATGGATTGTAATTAATTATACGTGTTATAAATAGACCATCAAGCCTAACCTCATATAAAATCCTATGTTATTACTGCGGTTCCATTACATTTGAACCCACGTACATTTGAACCCATGACAATTGCACCTGTATGCTATTGCACCTATGGATTTTTTTTTGTTTCACGGATAGTTAAACCCATACTAACCCTAACTCATGGGTTTGAGCATCCGCATATAGATTGAACCCGTGGATATACGCATGGGTTCAAATGTACATGGGTTCAAATGTACGGACACCTATTACTTCATATTCCATATTTTTGTATAATATGCATTAGTAAAGATAAAATTGTGAACTTATAATCAGTTTTTGGTGAGGCATGTTACGGATTTTATGTGCATCTTGCTCAAGGAAACTATTGTAAAAACTAACCAATTTATCCATGTTACTTTTTTGTAACTTTGCAAATTCTCCTTCCAGCATCCTATTTAAATCTTTGTTCTTCTCGGAAATCAAGATATCCGGCATTCTTTTTGAATTTTCAGCATATTCTTTTAGCGTATCAGATTTGCATTTCATGTGAAGCTTTTTGAGATTTTCCAATTCCACCGGGTCGGGCTGATCCAGAGCCTGTGGTATAAGTTATATGTTGATCTCGAAATTGAATAAATATTCAAGATGCCAAACTTAACAATTATTGATTCAAACAATTAAGGAACAAGGTATGAATAGTTTTCTTATTAAACAATTGTCTCACCTTTTTCATTTTTTCTGTATATTGCTGTCTTCTCTCTTTAGTAAACTTTGAAAGCTCCTCAAGTATTCTTTTCTGAAAAGTGAACCCAATTTACCAATTTCTTACATTTTTCGACCATATATATATCGCCGGATGAGAACAGAAGGGGCCTAAGTCACATTTTTGAAAGTTCATTTTCCCCAATATGTTGGGATCTTGAGCCGTGCTCTACAAGATGGTGGTCTTGAACCTGAATTTCTCAATAATAAAAATTTTAGCTAGACTAAGGACTATAACATTTTGTAGAAGTTAAGAACAGAATAGGCCTAAGTTCCAATATGATGGGCATGGACATTCAGAATTGAAATGTACAAAACTTACATCCGTGAGAGTTTGGTCAGTGCAACTTAGGCCTAAGTAACCTTGATTTACCTTGCATCCCATACAAAAAATTTCAGAAGTTGTTAAAAACAGAATGGGCCAAAGTCCTTTATATCGGGGGGGGGGGGGGGGGGGGGGGGGGCTATATTGATCACAAAGATATTCTCATCCACATTGAAATAACCAAAGCTCAGGTTTTTACTAAGTGTGAATATCTAGAAATTCAAAAATAACGAAATTCAAAATTGTTTCTGCGTTTTCCTCAAAACTCAAATTTGTGACTTAGGCCTGTTCTGTTCTCATCCGGCGATATAGATGCACGCACAAACCCTTCTGCTTTCATGTTCTTCAATTGTTTCAGAAAGTAATATGTTCAACTTGGTTTTCAAATTTTCCCTCGAACTACGATAAAGATCCATTGGTCCGTCGGAAACAGCTTTTGTGAATTTATCCAAAGCTTCCAGTCTAATTTTCTTGTGAATTGCCTTAATATCTATTTCGTTTTTGACATCATTTCCACATTTCTGAAATAGTAAAAAATACAGGACTAACAATTTGTATGAGTAAAATAAGTGATATTAACATGTTCTTATGTTTGATGCGTTCAAATAATACAAAAAATCAATATTCGTTAAAACCTCACATCGTTTAATTCATTTTGTGCCCAATTGTAACATGTTTCCAATTCCATACTGCAAAGTTCATGGAAATCTTTCTGTAATTTGAAAAAAAAAAACATTTTATTTTCCTTTTACGAAAGGAAAAAATCAATCACATGAAACAAATAATTTTACCATCAAGCATATTAAAAAAGAGATATATTTTATTATACTCTATACGTAATAAATCCGTGGTAATATAACTTAAACTATGAAGAATGCCCAAGCAATTAAACAATAACGCAATTGACTGAATTATATATAGATATATAAGTGAATAAATATTTCAGGTAATTGGCCATTTCAGCAAAAGAAAAAAAATACCTGTTTTTGTTGATTCTCTTCCAAGATGGTTTTGAATTTGTTTTCTAAAATCGCACCCAATCGTTCCAGACATTGATTTTTTATATATTCACTCAAATCCATATCCGAGAGTGTTTTCTTTGTCTTTTCAGCAGAATTTTGGCGAATTTTTTCCAGCTGAGGCTTACTTTTCACTTTTTTGTCTGTTAGCTAAACAAAAATATATTTTGCTATAAGTTATTGCAAAAAATTTATAGGTTGATTCTAAATTACCTTTACGACTTGTATAATGAAGTATTTCCCCAATTCGTCAAGTTTTTCAGAAATTTGCATTTCATCGTTTTCCTAAAATTGAAACTGATTAATTTGAAAAGTATATTATTAAAACAGAATTGAACTAATATCGCAAGTTACTTTATTTCGAGTGATGATTGTTGATGCCAAATCACAAAGTGTTTCCAATTTTGTACGTAACTTTATTTTCCAATCCTTAAATATTGTTTTTGGAATGTCTGCTAACACCGATTCCTCGGTTGTGTCATCCACTATTTGTTTCAAAATTAAATCAGCTTGAGATGAATCTTTAATATTTTGTTGCTGCAGAATCTATAAAATATTATTATTAATTTTCCAATAGCTATGAGCGAATTCATTTATCTCTTATAAGTTAACAAATCATATCAGAATATTTATACTGTAATTCGTAACTTTTCCTATTTATTTACGTATTTATTTACTAAATGTTTTTCCATATATATTTTAACAACCCACTTCAGATAACTTTACTTTTGCCTCTTCGTAGATATCGTTTATTTGAAGATCCAGAGATTGTTGCATCACTTTCTGTTATTAAAATCACATACTTGATGATTTCGCAATATTTCAATACAGACAAATTTAAAGAATAAATACCTGGTATTATAGTTTTAGTTCTACGGGTAATAAAAGGCAATCATATACAGATAAGAACCTGAAGGTTTATAAATCAGTTTTCATCTCTATAACTGACATGAAGACACACCAGCTGCACAGAATTTTGAGAAAATCGACTATATAAATTTCATTATACATGATACAAATTTACACAGTGTTTCTGAGGACATCTTGAGGATCGATGTACCCAATGCCTTTTGGGATTTTAACAGTTGCCTAAAGTATATATGTGTCGCTATGTCAATTATGGTTTTATTTCCCGTTTAGTGTTTCATTTCGTAAGCCCGTTTGTACATGAAAATGATTATCAATAAACAGTAGGTGAGTAGGTTTAGTAATTTATTTGTATATAAATAAAACCTGTTTATTAGCCTTAAATAGATCGATTTTATTTAGCGTTAGCCGATTAGACTTATTAGGTCGAAAACACTGATTTAAAACCTATGAATTGCACGACTACAAACCAGAGTTATAGTGTCAGCAAGTGTTGATCCCAATAAGTGACAAAGTGATAAATATATGCATGGCATAATTTAAGCCTTGAAAAATCTAAAAATTTGGTCGCCTTACCAGATTGTTTGTGTTTTGTAAAACGACATCATCACATAATTGTTTTATCATGTTTTTGATTTTCGAAGTGTACTCTGCTTCAAAATCTTCAACTCTACGTTTAATGCCATCAAAATGTTTTCCAAGAATAACTGATTCGTATTCTTTACATAAATCTTTTATTTTAATTTCTTCGACATAGTGTGAAAATTTCTGTGGTATAGGAAAAATATTCTTTGTCAACGTGATGTATTACAACTAACAAATACAAATCTACTCAAAATTTACCTTCCGCAAAATATCCGAAAGCTCCTTTTTCTTTTCGTCTATATATTTGTCGTAATCTATTCTACACTCGGCCTGAAAGTATTAATTTTTTATGATACAAAGATGGATGAACTAGAAAACAGGCAATAACAAATTTGGTGTGATTTGGAAGTCACTCTATCATTTACTACAAATTCACCAAAATCGATCAAGCGGTACAATCAGTTGACATTGCAAAGGCGAACGTGCACAAAAAGAATTACTGCGTTTGCCAGAAGGAGCTGCTCGAAAAAGAAGCCAGGCTTAGATTGCCAGAGCGATCGTCAACGATGAATCCTTAAAAACTGGCAAACAAATAACTAGTTTTTTCGGTGGAATAAGAACTAAACAATAGAATTAATTAGGTATACTTCTATTGCTAGATTCCGATCAGAAAGTTCTCCAATGTCGTTCTTGATGTGCAGTTTCACCGATTCCATAGCCTCTTTTTTCGATTCATCACCACCGTAAAAAGCCCTGCCTTCCAGCTCTGCGATTATTTCGTTTTCTGCACTTTTGGCCATTTGTGCAAATTCAGTGTTCTTCAGAAATGGGCTCTCGCCCATATTCTAAACATTAGATCAAGTTAAACAAGTCATTGTAGCCAAGTAAAACTGTAAACTGGCATATTTTTTATTGGCATATTTATACTTATCTTAATCAAAAGTCAAGACTGATAAATTAAGTCAAGTAAAATTCAATAAAATTGGCCACACTAACTTCAAAAACAAGTATCCATTACCTGCTTCATTTTGCTTTTGAATTTGTTTCTAAACTCGATGACCAGATTATTTTTAGCAGCCTCAATCTGTGCCTATTGTATAAAAAAATGATTATTTAATAACTGTAAAAAGAGATTTAATAAGTGTCAACGGTACGAATAATTTTATTTCGTTAAATTTAAAATTTGTATTTCCCAAATAAAACGATATATGGAAATATTCATAATTATATAGGAAATATGTGCAGGCTTAGGGGTAGGTGTTTCCTTTTTTACAACGATAAATTATCAAATAATAGACAAACTAGTGCAAATACGAAAACATTTGTATCCTTCAAGTTGCTATTGATTGATTTATTTCATACCTCTACAAAGTCTTTGGGGGTTGGCAGATTATCACTTTCCAACATTTTCGAAAATTGCAACGCAAACTCTGCTAATTCTCGTCCATGAATTGGTTTGTCATTAAATTTTTTTAATGATATTTTATCTGGATCGAATAAAAAATGTACCAACTCGTCCAAATGTTGTCTGAAATCTGAACTTATGTCTGAAAATAAACTAACATACAACTCAAGGATAATTAGAAAAAAAGCAGGCTAAAATAAAACAATGAATGCTGTCTTGAATGCACGAAAAAACGTAAAAGCTAATGTGATAAATCGACCATTTGGGAAAATTGAAAGCATTTCTAGTCATATGACAGTCTACAACCAGATTTAAAAGTATTACTTATTTCATATTTTGATTATTCCTTAATAATACCTCGTCCATATGTTCCAGTAATATCCAAGAAAATAGTAATGAGAACAGAAAATTTAATTTTTAATTGCAATGTTATTTGTTTATCTGGTGGCAAGTGTGATACAAATATTGTGTGATGTAAAATTGTAATTAGCAATGTAAATCTCCAAAACGCTCTTTGCCAAGATAGCCCTGCAAAGTCTCAAATCTATGTCGTTATACTCACCCTCAAAGGCGCCATTGAATTGTTCTTGTTTGCTTTGCGCAACTTTCTTTCCAGGGTGAGGTAATAGAAATCCCCCAACTTGCTCGAACATTTTTTTAAAGTTTTCCTTTCTGACGTTATCTTGTGACCCTCTACTAAGTTGATCATCAACATAATTTTCTCCGCCCTTGGCACCGCAGCTATGTTCATCACGATCTGCCCAATCACGAATTAAAAACAGCAACGCCTGACAAAAACGATTCGCTGATTTTCGTTTTTTTACTAGTCATGGTTTGTGTGAATGGAATCATATCAAAAATAAGTTAAACATTATGTTACCTGAAAAAAACTTTTGCCGTGAAGACCTTCAGCCATTCTAGCATGTTCTACGAACATCTAAATTAATTTTACTAACATTTAGTTTCATACAAAATTGATCTAATAAAGACATCATATACTAGTTCGCATGCTATGTTCTTCAAGTAAAACGTATATTAGGTTCGAAATTGATTTTTAAATGAATAATAAAATGTTCGGAAAGAATTTGACTGTACAAAAAAGGCCATGAAAGGTTGGCAATTGAGCCTGATATATATTAGTTTATCTAAACAACAACATGCATCATTTGCACGAACAGTCTATTTTGAATAAACTTTTGATGGTAACTAAAATTTCTCAGGTTGGGGAAATTATCGAGCTAATATTAATCCTTTTATTATAGTCTAAGCCTACATTATGTTTTGATACAAATATTCAAAGCAACCATTGGGTATTCTCCAAATTTATACAATGCGAGATCTAAAAAGTAAAGTAAATCTGATCAAATCATGGGTAGTTACTTATTATATATGTATATTTATGGCGTCAACAATGAACTATATTATCTCACCTCGAAAAATTCTAATTTATCGCTTCGCAAACATTTGTTTACGTTGTAAATCATATGTGAACTTATTGCAAGACTCATTGTTATAATCTTTGAACTTTGAGTGAGATCATTTTCATTATCAAATGCTCCTTGAGTGTCAATGAGAAAGATTGCAACCTATACAAAAGATCGAATTCATTAAATAAACTTGTTTGCTAACGACGTCTTTACTCTTCTTTCAATTAATATTTTGATATTTGGAATGATATCAAACATATAATTTTTGACACAATCCAATAACGTGTTTTGGGGTAAGCACTAGTCGAAACATCCCAACAGTATGATCAAAGCAACAAAACATGACGGAAATGCATTTTGTTTGACCTCCGATACCGGCCTATCTTCACTTGCATTTCAGTTGCTCTGTGATGTAGTGGTCTCAGTTAAAATAAAATTACTATTTCAATTTTGATAATGAGAAATAATAGGATAATCCAGTATTAATTCATATCATTTGCTTTTGGATTATTTGACAATAACTCACTTCATTGATTGTTTTGTTGGACCCATCAATTCTGAATAATATATATATATTTTACAATTTTTGATGATTGAAATTAAAAATACGCGCGTCTTCTATACGGCTATTGTTTTTATACTTTCCCACCATGCCTTCTAGTTTTTGAAAAATAAAAAACGTTTTATCGCAAATTTTGCTCATTGCATAAAATCGCGCCACCACTAGGCGAAACGAAAAATTTTCTAATAAAGTATTGAATAACGTGATCTACTTCATGCTCTTTTTATAGAAAGATTGTTTTACACACAATTCTATTCAGATTTACCTTTGTTCCGTCCAGTAGAGTTGAAAAATATGGTTTGCTCCACATTAATATCCCCATTGTATTAGATTTTGTACCGCCTCGCCAAGAAAATCCAGTTAGGTGGGCGTCATTACTATTCATCCAATTGTCAGACTAAATTATAAATTGACACAAATTATCAAGATTAGAAAGATATATAAAAATAAAGATAAGATAAAGTTCGAGAAAAGTCGATGCAAGTTATGTGTGTGTGTGTGTGCGTGTTTTTAAGTGCTATTTAAGTGTTATACCATTCAACGTATACAATTCGGCGTTCAATAGTATTCCAATGTTATGTACCGATAAACTCGTTTATGTAATGCAAAATAGTAAAGTAGAACATGGTTTGCATGTGGAACCTTGGTACAATTGATAAATTAGTTCAAGTAGTTTGTAAGTGTGATTTATGATATAAAAAGGGTACATGAATCCACAGATAGAATACGAAGACGTAACATGAATTAAATGTAATCCTACTGCAGTTGATTTACTACATGTGGAACACTGGCGAATCATATTTTTAGACAAAAATTGACTTATAGGGCTTACTCGTCCGGATTCAAGAAATCTGATAAACATATTTAGAATAAACGATTTCCCTTCACGCATAGCTCCAGTCACAGACAGTATCATAATTTTGCAATCATCCACTCCATCCTGAGAGAGTATTTTTAAAATATTATGTTTTACAATCCGATGTACTTGGTCATCGTTTTGTTTAATGTAGATTGGAACTGCTTCACCTGCAAGACATATTTTTAACATGATTATATAAGTTGCAATTATCAAGAACAATTGTCAACAATTTTTAATTTATAAGTCACTACCTAAAATATATGTTAGCGTTTAAAAACTTTATTAATAGGTCTCGAATTGTTCTAATCCACCTCGACAACTTGCTCAATTTTGGTTAATATAACATGTCAAAGTTTTTATATATCGGTTGAAAAACCTGATCATATTTACATTCTTTGCAGATTTTAAATTATCACATTTAAAAAATCGATATGTTTTAATTACTATCAATAATTATGTAGTAGCGAAAATGGTCGGAGCGGGACTGCTTCGAAATTGAGGCTGCAAGTTAGGCATTTGGTACGTTGTATTTTTAAATCACAAAATTTTATATTATGTTTTGATCTCATTTGATTGATTGTATTTTATCTGGTGGGTTAAAATTAAAAGATCATTTCTGCTGCTGAAAAAAAGAATAGGTTCAGGCATACAATGGTTGTTCAATAAAATACAATAAAATTATAGCCTATAGGCAGTGTTGAGAAGACTCACATTTTTTATTGATTCGAGTCATTCGAGCAAAAAGACTCGATTCAAATTCTACCAATTATACTTGACTTAGGAATAAATTGCTGGACAGAAAAAAATCGCTGACAAAAATCCGTTGAAGTGCGACATAGTACACATGATAATGCCGTAATGATAAATATATATTTGTTGAAAAAAAGGTACCAAAAATATTTTCACAAAACTCAGCTTTGGGTCGCGTAGGGTCGCGTCCCATAGGGAAACACAGTTGAAACATACGCATAAAATAAAGAGTACTATTTAAAAATACCCGCTATTGTTGCAATTAACAATACAAGCCTGCTAACGCAGTCGGCAGTGGTTCAAGAAAGGGATTGTGCACAGTTTGTGTACAAATATACACCCGATAGAGAACAGTCAACTATTTGTTAGCGAGGATTGTTATGCAGCGGGATGATCACGACGATGCAGTTAAAGATAATGCTATCACGAGAAAACGAATGATAAAATTGCTACATTTTATAGTATATCCTTGGGAAAGAATGTAGTTCATGTTTATATTCCCTGCCAATTCTTTTCTAACTACCAAAGACCTTCAAAACTTTTGCTTCTTCTATTCTATTAAAAAAAAGATTTTATATATTCACATTTCCATCTGTTTGTTCGTACTCCCATATAACCGATCCGTGGCCTCCAAGGAGGCCGGAGTCCCCCTTTAAAAAACCCTGTCATAAGCTAAAAGAGGCGACCGTGCTTCTCTTGCCTGTTGTCATGCTGTCCCTCAAATTCAGCTACAACAAAAAATTCACGAAAACGGGTTTTAGATTTTATGATTCCATCAATATTCTCGACAATGAATGATATACGGGTGGTAAAATGCCAAGTTATTCCAACAAAATGATCATGTTTTGCAACTTACAACCAATATTTTGTAAATAACTTTGTTTGACAGAGCCCCAAAAGATCTAACTACAAATATCAAAAAGGTGAGGCCAAATAGTCACACTACAACATAGTCGAATGTGCTGTATTTACGATAGATAACAAGTTAACCAAAAAGCATTACATGTAAAATGATAAAATAAAGATCAATTCAGCAATATCTAATTAAAACTTGGTGATATGCATCTGTTTATGATTTTAAGTGTTTGTTTCGGAAATTTAATGACAGAATCAATTGTGGTTGTTGGGAATGTTTCAAAAAAGATTGAATGGAAAAAAGTTTTCACAATATGTCAAGGTTTGAGAGTAGTAAAGATGTAGAAAAAATACTCCCATGTTTTCTTCATTTGATAACCACACCACAGTACTTCTCCGATAAATATATATATATACGTAGCAATTGCGAGAGGCAGAAATGCCATGATGGAATTTCGACGCATTACAAACCAATATTAGCGATTCTCAGATATATTCGCGCATTCCCATCTGAACTGCGTGAAAAAGACTATACCTTTCTACATACATGAAAATCTTTGTCAGATGAGCATCATAATATCGAATATCAGTAAAGGAATAGTGCAATTGGAAAAACATATAAGACCTAACTTTCAGTAATATGCAATTAAATAATTTTATTGTAGAATATATATTTAAAAACATTTCGTCACGTCAACCGCAGTCCGAAACTTTAAGAGGCAGGCAAGAGGCAGGTCTTATATTGAAACGCCACGGGATGGAGCAGATAATATGAGTATCCATCCCCCAGCTGTCATTTGAGTGGGTACTGCTGTTTTTTATTGCAGATGAAGTCAAATATTCCAATCCATTTCAACTAATAAAATATTCCCGAGTCCCAAAACTTTTAGCGGGAAAACGAAATGCTCGCAGTATCACAAATGTAGTTTGAAAAGTGCAAAAGGAGGTGGCTAGTAGCTGTCGATGAATCTTGGCTTATATTAGTGAAAAAACTACCATTTATTGTACTAAAATTGAATTTCTGATATTGTAAGGAGATTCATTGTTACTATGTATTCAAAACTAACCTATGTAGTTTTAAAATATTTGTTTTTAACAAAAACGTGCTCCCGAAGTATTCGTACCAAGATGGCGTACAACCTGAACTTTGAATGTGTACCAGTTTACGCTTCAGGATGTTCGTCATCTTGGTACGAATACTCCCGGAGCGTCTCAAAATCCACTTAGAAAAAATTGCTCAAAATTATATACTCCACACCCACTTGGGTATCATTATTTATGTCATTGACATTATATCTAAAAAAGAAAAAAAAACTTTGTCTTAAAACGAGCTTCGGCCACGATTCTGCCAGACTACATGTGTGCCGGTCCAACTCGTGCATCTACCAACACCACTTATTTGCCGATGCCGATTCGATATATACCAATACCAATATTACGAATTTCTTGTATTACTGCTATTCCAATAATCAGTAATTGACATCATTGCATATACAATGTTTTTGAGTTCTTTAGTGTAGGGTACACACGGGATAAAATGTTCGTCTGTGAATAGTATTTATTGGGAACAGTACTTCAACTAGAATGACAGGTGAGGGAGTCATGATGCACACGTGAATGCAAACTTTTGACCTGACTTATGACTCAGATGGACAGTGACGACTTGACTTGGACTCTGCCTTTAGATAATTTTATTCAACACTGCCTGAATTCTAATCGGGTTTTTATGGGGATTACCAATTGTAATCTAGTGAGTTACGTGAGTATTGAAGGCTTTGAAAATTTAAAACGTCATTGTCAGATTGCTAAAACGTTTGAAGTTCATCTGAGGGCATATTGGCTTCTGTATTGTTATTCAGAGAACACCGTGTCTGTTATACTGTAATGATCGTTACCGTCATTTTCTGTGAATATGTTTAAAATTTGAATTTAATCAGCAAATTCTTTTGTGTTTGTTTGTCCTGATGTTTTATCAGAACTTATGACGTTAGGCCCTTCAAATTTCGCAAACATACGCCAACGACCTTTATTTTGTTACAGGAACTGTATAACAGTTACAGGAACTGTATAAAATTAATATTTGGTCTCATCACGATCAATTAAAATCATTCGTTGAATATTTGAATGCGTGACACAATTGCTCTTTTGTTAATAATTGATTATTTCAGCTTTTATTCATTGCACTTGTGTTTCAATTTGTTCAAGGAAAAGTTACAGGAACTGTAAACAAACGCCAACGACCTTTATCTAGTTTCAATAAAGCAATTTTATTGATATATATATATATATATATATATATATGTATACGTGTAACCAACTTGTTTGCGCAGACAAGCGTAAACTTTGAAATTATTAACGAATTCGTCGAATTGGATAATGCCTTTGAGTAACGAAATAAATTTTACCCACACATACTACGACCGATAACTAGGACCATATCATATAATTTGGGTTTGATAAAACAGTCCAATCAAATTTAGTAATACCAATTCAATAAAATACAGGAGAGCTTTGTTTAAAAATATGAACACGAAATGCAAACGAAATATTTCACCATCATATCTCCGAAAATCATATCCGGTAACTTGTCGGGGCACCTGGTACCGCTTTTTCAAATCCGGTGACAATGAAGCATTTTTCATATGATTTAGTTTGAACGTGAATTGAAGTACCAAATTATATTTCAGTTTTTTTATTGCATCCTAATCATCCATTAATATAATATATTCATCATAACTATGTACTATTCGGTATATGTACGATTAGAAAATTGAAGTCGTGATAAAAACGATAATGTTACAAAGCACTGCTTCCATTATGTCGGCATGGCAAATAAAAATAAATGTAAAAACTAATGCCTACCTTCCACGCTGGCCATTGTTGTTTGCGTGCCTCTGTCCTTGACTGCAACATTGACAAGATACAATAGCAAAGTATAGTAATTTCATATAAGCTGAACTCTTTAGGCGTTTATTTAATAAAACAAAAACGTTGTTAAAAATGATACCTCGAAATTACTTGGCTGCAACATAACACAATGCCCTAGTTCAAACAAGAAGTTTTAAAAACGCCAATACATAATCTTACACTGAATTACTCAATCATTAGGGAGGAACATGAGGATGTTGGATTTATTTGCATTGTAATCTATGCCTTTTCTTTGATTTAGTGTTTTTAGCTTCTTCGGCATCGACCAAGCGGCCAACACAACGCCTAATATGATGCGACGTCTTGTTTTTTGTGTACACGCCATTTTTTCTTCATCCGTTCTATAAAATAAAGGGCCGATACGCCTCTCTAGTTCATTTGCTTACTATTCGAACACGTAATGTTATCTAAATGTCTCGAATTGTTTGAATAATATCATACGCGGCTTCTTATGCAATCGAGTATTGACACAGGAGTGGTGGAATATGTTTTATGCTCTGATTTAACATTTCTAATATAAACATGCAACTAACATTGTGTTTGGCAGAGTTTGCTTGATTAACACCGATGTTGTTTACCTGAGCTGATCAGTTGCTGAGCAAAATTGAATTTTGTACGTATAATAACAAGACAAGAACTTTTACTAATAAGTTGAATTCAAGATATTATACGTACAAACTTTAGTTATACACTGCCTCAACATTTTGAGGTAGTGTATAAAAGTTTTTTAATTTTTTCACTTTTTCAAATGGATTGGCATAACTAGCTTACTTTTAAATCAACGAAATATTAAAGAATATGGCGACTTGTATGGAAAGAGACGAATTTCATGAAGGTATGCGTTTTACCTATTATCTGTATATAAGTAGATATTTTCTTAATAGTGCAATCAAAAAATATTATTACCTATAAAACTGTTTTAATGACTTGAATGCATCCTTTTTCAGCCAATAATCTGGCAAATTTTACATGACCATTTTTATCCATTTTATAACGCGGAGATTTGCCCAATATATCAATTATTACCGTTAACTCAAAGTTTTGTTGAAGGCCTTTCGAAACGCCGAAATATTGAAAAAAATTCTATTGTTGCATTTTTCAGCTGTTGGCTGCGTTATTCTCTCCTGAATCTTAAAAAAGACTTTACAGTTTTTATTGGTTTTACTTTTCAGTCGATATCATACTTGTGTAAAAAGAGATAGCGAATCGCCCACAATGAATATCTTTCTCTTCAAAAAGTCAGCTCTTCAAATCAAGCTTGTCTATTCTTGTTTGGTCGATCTCTAAGTTATCGTATGAAAACTTTTAGAAATCATAATCTGAACATGTATTATGAATCATGAAGAGAGCTATAATCTTGGAGCAAGTACTTATTAAAATATTTAGATGATAAAACGCTTACATATTTTTATTCTGTAACGGCACCAAAATGCCGAATGCGCTCGAAACACTCACTTTGTTGTAACTTCCTGATGTCGTAAAAGGCTCACTCTTTCATTGTTGGGTAGCAAATAAAATGAACTTTCAAAAACCTTAATTGGACTTATCGGACGATTTTTTTGATTACCACGCATCGCTCAGATTGATTGAAATATTCTTCTAGTTGTGCGACGTTCCATTATCACAGCGAGGTGTATAAGTTCGAAATGTAAGTGATATTTTAATACTTCCAAATGTCATATAAAATTCATAATAATATTGCTGCATAGGAGGTTAAATTCGCTTCCACACAAGACCATAACAAAAATTCCTGACATTATGGCACAGCAAAACATCGCGAATTCGCGCACATGATGGGCAGGATCATATTTTAAAATTTTAAATCGATAGAAACTATATAGTCTATAAAAACTCAATAATATATAGCACAACACATAAAGTGTGCAAAAAGGTGACGTAATGTGTAAACTAGGGGTTTCACTCAATGAGTTTACGTCTAAATTATACTTTATAGATTTTTTTTAGGTAGATTCAGTTTATTTGTTTTACACTCTACATGCGATTACTTATGAAGTTCTCTGAAGAAAAATAAAGGAACCTCTTATTCAATAAGTCGATTGATTTAATGTAGTCGAGCACTTTACATAATCCGACGACAAATAAATTCATCTGTGCCGCTCACTCACTACTTATCGGCCGATGTCATCCGCTATTCTTAAAAACAAAATCCTGGAAGTGTGGGATCTAGTAAGTTATAACCTTCAAGTTGAAAAAAATGGATACCTTCCAAATCTTTAATGCGCCCGATTAATTTTACGCATTCAAAAGCTCTCAAATAAGTCAAATTACCGACGATAAATAAATGCATCTCTACTGCTCACTTGCGGCTTAGCGGCCAATCAAGTCATCCATTGTTGAAAATATAAATTACTGGGAGCGTGATAGTTGAGGCCAATGGACAATAGTGTAGGCCGTAGGGACATACAACCTTGAACCGTGAGGGATATTAGATAACTTTACCCAACTCTCACTGTAAAACTCTCTCTTTTTTATGTAAACTTCTCTCGGCAAAGATCAAAATATATTAGCGACTGCGAGGGCCTTGAATTTCGGGCATCTCCGGCTGCATCTTACGCCCTTTCAAACGCCTTATATCCGCGAAGCTTTTTTGCCGGTCCGCGAGAAATTTCGTTGTTTTGTTGTTTTTATGCCGTCTCAATCGCTTTACCGTAGACAAGGTTGCGTTGCCTCATTACGCTATTCTCTTCCGCCGTCATATTGCGACGTCTTTCGCGACATGTTGGCGCCGTCTTACGCGACATGTTGGCGTCGTCTTACGCGACATCTTGGCGCCGATCATTCACACTTTCCGCTTTTTCGGCTCCGTTCATCGCGAATGCGCTCCATCAAATCTCGCAAAATTAAGAAGTCTAAAAATCGGCACGCGTGCTTTTTCTGTTCTGCGTGCTTTTCCTGATTAATATGACCACCCATATAAAACGTAATGCATATCTCCTTGTTTAAACCAGAAAACCGTCAAGAACAGTATAATATTCCATATGAACTTGTTGCGACCCCACAAGTGGTCACGAAACGCGCAAAAAAGCACGGGCCGCAGTGATCAGAGGGATTAAGATGAACCCAATAAAAAAGAAAAGGCTTGATTAAAATGGTGATTCTACTTTACAGTCCAGATTAAAAGAGAATTACTTATCACAATTTTAGATATCTCCTGATAACGAATACCCATCGCCATAATTGTGCATGTTTTTAATTTGAGATATTTTATGCGTGCCTCTCTTACGCATAATGGGTACCCAGCACTGCATTTTATAACGCAAATATATGGTATTATTTTATGTTTCACCCATTTTAAATATGTGCTCGGCACATTATTTGATAGTTTTTCTCCGTGTGAAATGTTTTTAAGTGTGCTTTTTTATCTAGAAGCATATTGAGTGCCCGACATTGCATTATATTACGCAAATATATGTTATTCTCTTCTGTTCCGGCCATTTTAATTTTTTGCCGGTCCGCGAGTACATTTAATCTAATTTTACCGGTCCGCCAGGGTAGAAAGGTTGGGAACCGCTGATTTAGACCACACTGACCCGTACCAGTACAACAATATTTATTGTGCTTGAAGTTTAACTACCAATTTATGCCAATAATGCAATTATGTCATGTTTAACTCATTGCAACAAATATAAACAAAAATCCAATAATGAGGTTTGCGTTATTATTTGCCAATAGAACGGCACCATTAAATATCACACATTTAAATCTAGATCGCTATCTAGCGCCTCTAAAACAATTTTTGTTATTAATAGATGAAGGTGAAGCAATACCGATATACGTCAAAGACGAGAACGGCAAGCAGATATTTCTAAAAGATAATCTACTTAGGATACTGAATCAAAAAGGAGTGAAAGATGGAAAAGTCATGGTGCTAACTGTCGCCGGAGCAATGCGTGAAGGAAAATCTTTCATACTAAATCTATTCATCAAATATCTTGAGTCTGGGATGGTATGTATCATAGTTGTTTTGAATAAATAAAAATTAATAATGTATTCGAAAGAGATCTGGTTTTCTTTATGACAATTTGCATTTTTTCGTTTTTGTAAACCATTTTATGATTAATCAAAATAATACGAAAATCACCTTTCTGAAGTTTGATGAGCGTGCTTTTTGTATTAAAGCTCTACAAAGAAATACAATTTGCAAGTAAGGTATCAGTGAACTTTGATCTGTTTGCTGTGCCGGCCATAATGTAATTCAAAGTTAACGATATGGAATTGTTTATTGTCATTATTGATTGCTCACTGGCTTATGCTACAATAACTCGATGGAAAAATTTTAAAATAATCATCCAACAACATATTTGATTCGAACAGTAACAGAACGGGAGTTTTTTCATGCGTTGAACGGTCTAACATACTCATCACTTTGTAAATAAATATTTAAAAATGTGACTTCTCTTATATTACTCTGCAGTCGTCTAGTTGGTTGGACGGGGACGAGAACAACACACTTGCAGGTTTTTCATGGCGCGGGGGAACAAAGTCAAATACTATGGGTATACTGATGTGGAGCAAGCCATATTTTGCAAATCTTCATGGAAAAAATAAGGTTAATGCACATTACTCATATTTCTCTTTATTGAATCCCACTGTTTTTGTTGTGAATAACATTCTAAAATACTGACACTTATGGCTTATCAAATGATCGGACTTGAATTTCAGACATTCTATGGGTCTTTCTCTACATATATATATATATATTATTTTTTATGTCTCCTCTTCTCTTTGAATTTTTATTTATAACGGAATGTGAATGTCCTATGCTCATACTGCCAATATTACATGCATATACAGCCAAATCATGTACATATAGAGCAAACCAAATATGCAAATAAAACCAATGCCAAATGTGCATGCGGCCAATGTTATACGGATATGCAGATCAATTTCAAATCAATATAATATACAGTTATTGAAATAATGTATATACAAAGCAAGTACCATGTGCATATATAAATATACAGCAATTTAAATGATGTACTGTATACACAAAATACATTGTTA